CCCCCCCTCCGCCCCGTCTCTGACAGCCGACACGGGGGGGAAGAGCCCTACCCGGCGGTGACAGGCAGCTGTGACAGCCGTCGCTGGTCCCTGAGTGGCACCCGTGCACCTCGGAGGTGACGGCGACCAGGATGCTGCCTCGGCCGTGACGCCCTCCTCGCCCCCGGTGCGGACGTTCCACTGTCGCTCCCTGTTTTCGGGGCATCTCCTGAGTGGAGAAGAGCAGCCAGAGCTCCCCAGTTTTGGATTTTAGGGGGCTGGGTGTGGCATCACTGTCCTCAGAGAGCCCCGACACCTTCACCGAGAACACCGGGAGCATCACCTGGGCTGGCAGTCGTGCCAAACTGCATCGACGGGGACCGAGTTTGGGCACAACGTCCCCCTTCTTCATCTCCTGGCACCTTTTCTGGACGCCTGGGGAATCGGCGCGAAGGCGTCATCCATCATGGTGACAGCCTGATAAACAAGCCCTCCACCTCCTCCCACCGCAAAGAGCGGCAGGCGACGGTCGCGTTACGCATGGGGCGGATGATATCGATGGAAGCCAACTTGGAGAACATCCCGGGATGAATCACCACAAAGCCAAGGAAGGGCCAGGAGAACTTGTGCTGGTCTGTAGACATCCGACAGACTCACGTCTACCCCAGGCAGCCACCAAAACGCTCCCAGCACCAGCCTTGGGAGAGTTGATGTCCCGAGAGAGATTATGGGGAGACGTGAGGGTGCAGCCTCCTCCCAAAACTGTTCAACAATCACCTAGAAGACAACCATGGCAGGTCCAGCATCAAGAGGTGTCGCTACCACCCCATCCCCAGGCAGAAAAGACAGCCCGGTGGTCATAACGTGGTGGTGGTGATGGGTGACTGCTTGCATGGGCCCAACTGGGGAGCCAAGCACAGCACCCAAGGGTGCCAAGTCCCTCCATAAGACACCTCAGTCCTTGCTCTCCTTTGTTTTAAGGCCAAAAATAGGATGAGAGAGGTGTTGAAGTAGCTCAGCTGTGGCAGCAAAGGAAGCTGCTGCAATTCTCAGAGCAGCAGGAACAGCAGCTTTCCCTCTCCGTGATATAAAACCCATCAAAAAAATCAATTCAAAAAGCAAAAGTCACAGGGATCCTGGATTTAGGACACAACATGCCATGACTTCACTCCTCCAGCAAGATCTGGTGCAGGAGGTAAAAAGACCAGCCTTCAGTTCTCGCTCCATGGCTGCAGAGACCTGATCCCATCAAGGCAAACCATCTGTTAAAAAATAAGAGAGAAGCACCCAAACCCGCATCCGACCGGAGGTGACACAGCTCCTGTCACAAACAGCAAGATGCTGTTGAAAGGTCATCGAGAGATGGCCAAGGGTTGGTTGGGCTCCTCTCCTGCATCTGACACCAACAACGTTTTTGGGTTTTGGTGCTTGGGGAAGGGATTCCTCATCAACCCAGAGTGGCCCAGCCTGATCCCACAGCTTTTTTTTTTAAAAGCTTGGGTGCCCATGGCCAAAGAGATGCGATGTTGCGGAGAACTTGGTGGCCAAACCGTGTCCGTGTCTCGAGGATGGGGACAGGGATGTCCTTGGGGGGTGGGGTGGGCACGGTGCATCAGCTCCTATCCATGGTGAGCCCTGCAGAGCTCATCCAGCAGCGCTTTGGAGACCCATCGCATTCCACGGGGGTTGGAAGGGACCTCTGAAGATCATCTGAAGGTCACCACGTTGAAAAGGCAGCAAGATATAGTGCCCAGCACCCCCTCCACAAGGAGTGACCCCCCCCAAACAACCATCAGAGCTTTTCATCAGGTCTATGAACCAAGGTGCTTTGGGACAGCAAGAGGAGAACAGGGAAGCACACACAAAGCACCACGTGCTGGAGCTTGGAGAAGTCACCCAGGTCCTGTAACGGCAATGTGAGGCACAGGAAAAGCTGTGGAGATATCTACTCCTCCCCACAAACGTCCTCCTGCACTGCCTGTCATAACTCACTTTCCCCCCGCATGGTAACGAGCCCTGGCGTCAGGCTCCATTAAACCCCATCTCTCTTGCTCAGCACCCAGCTACTGCGCGCAGGATGCATCCCTGCGTGGTCGTGAACCTGAAAGCCTTAGTGGAAGCAGGCAGAAAAACCCAGGATGCAGCTCCAGGGCAAAACCCCTGCTGAAGAAACAGCTCAGGAACACAGGAGAGCTCAAAAAACTGGTGGGATTGCTTCAAAATTTCCCCCAAGAACGTGGGTGGCCAAGCGCACAGATGCCAACCGTGCAAGGACCAAACGGTCTTGTTGATGCTGAAACCTCTCAGCAGGGATCAACCAGGCTGGTGCAACCTTTCTCCACGGCTCACATCCAGCCTCGAAAACAAACATCCACAGCAGCCGAGGAGGTTGGAGGGCAGAGGGAAATGGGAAGAGACACCTCTCCAGTAGCGTTAGTCACTTGACAGCCCCATCACTTCTCATTGCATCACGCTCCTGCGATGCCACATTACATCAGGTCATCACACCACAGGATGTAATCCAACGCTGATGCGTGAGGAAACCTAACGAGACGAGACACGCCGGGGGTTTACTGAGAACGGGGCCGATTTCTTGGTTTCTGGTCCCGCAGGTTGGGCTTGGCCGACGCCACGGGGCTTGGGAGGGAATAGCAATGCAAAAATGCCCCTCGCCAGTCAGTTGGACATCTGCCCACAGAGCTCCTGCCGGGTCCCACCATCCCCAACACCAAAGAACGGGGAGCAAACGGGCTGGTGAAGCTGTCCCGGTGCTGCTTCCCTTCCTGGTGAGAAGTACGTTGAGGAGAAAAAGCTGTCGGTACCGGGGAACTGGATGGGCAGAGAGGGGTGCTGCCTGCAAATCTCCTTCTTCACCCAGGAGCTGAGATGCAAGAATGACTGCAAGAACTCAGAAAACAAGCCCAGAGAGACCCCATTTTGGGAAAACAATCAAGGGAGAAATCTGGGGAGGGGAAGGTGAGAGGAAAGCAGCCTGCGTGACCTGCTCTGCATGACCCTGCTCTGGCAGTGGGGCTGGACTGGATGGTCTTTCAAGGTCCCTTCCAACCCCTGACATTCTGTGATTCTGTGATACGGAGCCAGAAGAAGTTTTTTAGCTGAGCGACAAGAGGCAAGGGGAGCTCGTCCCTCTTCTTGGCATGCACAGCGCTCCCAGGAGCTGCCACATGTTTTCTGCGAAGGTTTTGTCTAGGTTGAGAGTCACGTCTGGCTTGTAAAAGCTTCAATCCCTGCAGAATTAATCAGAGCATCGGTGCAAGACCAGGAAATGGGGGTCAGGCTGTTTCTCCCCAGCTAGCAGCAACACCCTGGGTGAGCTCAGCCCAAGTCCATCACATCCCACCATCTCCTGGAAGAGGACGAACCTCCTCAGGCAGGATCGGGGCCGGACTGCTGGGACCAAGCACCAGACCTGTCTGCATCAGCTCAAACCCCGACGAGCACCGGAGGTCCAAAAAGCACCCACATATCTCTAAACCCTGCACACGATGCTCGACCACCGTCCTCCAGACCACCGACGCGGACAACACGCCAGCTTCCCCGCTTGCCTTGGCATCAACCATCGTCCCCCACCCCATGGAAGGGGAAAACCTAAAGGAGCCAGCTTGGACTTACTTGCTGAGAAGGTGGCTTCGGTGTGGACGGGAGGGGTGGAGGGGAGGAACGGCGGGTACCCCACGAAGAAGGAGCGCAGGGAGCGCTCAGCGAGGAGCGGGGAGCGCTGCGCCGGGATGTTCTCGCAGCTTCCCACGCTGTTGTGGATCTTGAGGTTCAGGGGTTTGTTCTTCTTCTTGACTCTAGAAGGAAGGAGAAGGAGGAAAAAAATAAGGAGGGAAAAAAAAACAACACAAATACCACAAAGGGCACAAAACCAGGGGGAGATTTGCTCGCAGAAGGGGATGAAGGAGCGATGCACCAGCGAGGTGGTGGCACCCTGTGGGGCTGCACCCTGCCACGTTGAGCCCCAACGCGAGAGGTTGCCGACACAACTGCTCTGCTCAAACGCATCCCCAAACACCGGCCGGTGCTACAAGCCCTCGTTTTTTTTTAACGCATCCCCAAACACCGGCCGTTGCTACCAGCCCTGCTTCAAATAGGGGAAACTGAGGCATGGACGGGTTTCAGAGGAGGTTCAAGGCTGCTCACTACAGCACCTAAAGCACATTTGGGCTCTCACAGTGCCACGAAGTTCAAGAGATGCTGTGAAGCTCAAGAGATGCTGCTGGTCCCAGCATCTTATGAGAGCAAGACGCCAGCACGCAGCTCACCGGTGCTCAGCTACATCCATTTCGGGGCCCAAAGGAGGGGAGCTGAGCGTGACTGAGAGGCGTCACCCAAGGCTAACACTGTGAGCAGCCCCAACAGACACCTGGAGAACATCTGCCCGAGGCGGAGAACTATAGCGCCGACAACCTTGAGCGCTGGGAAAGGTTCATCGGCGGGGCACGAGCCCTGCCGTGGTGGAAACCAGGAGAAGGGTGCATCTCCCACCGTCCCGGGGGTATCTGGCTGTGCCAGTTGATAGGAAATGACCCCCGCAGCAGGAGGAGAAAATTAAATGGCCCTCTAATAAGTTAATTGTTTCCTCGCACAGGAAAAGCCGCTGCTGCCTCAAGGGTGGCTGTAATGACTTCTTTGGGTGTGCCAGGCTCAGGGACAAGGCGGGGGGTGCCTCCAGCACAACCCTCCTGGCTTGGAGCCCATGGTGGGTCTGACGCACCGACAGCCCCACAGCCAACGTTCGCCAGGTCATGCCCCACCAAGGGGGTCTGATACACCCTTGACCTCAAACCCCCAGGCCTTGAGGCAAATCTGCAAGGCAAGAAGCCCGGTGGCCCCCAGCAGCTGGTCCAATCCCTCCATTACTGCTGCTTGATCCCAGCCCAACGGCACAACCATGGCCTCTCAGACAGAACCCCCGGTGCGGGCCCAGCCCTGGCCCTCAGCCCAAAGTGCCTCCTCCACCACAGCGATTAGTCGCTAATCTCATTTTTTATTTTTTTTTTCCACCCATAAATCAGTTCCAGACCAAATATTTACCGCCAGCATCATTTCCTCACCAAGCAGGGCTGGTGACAGCTCTCATTATTAGGAAGGATGAGTGATTTTGGACAGGGAGAGATTTTTCTCTCTCCTTTGTTTCTTCAGGAAAAAAAAAGAAAATAAAAAGTCACACACAAAACACCACAATCAGGTGACCGCTGGGGGTTGGCTGCCAGGCTCACCATGACCTTGACCCCTTTTTCTCTGCCCATAAGGAGGGAGAGCCAGGGCTGAAGCCCAGAGAGGAGCGGGATGCTGCAAGCAAGAGGAATCTTCTCCCATGGCAAGTCTCCTCCTGTGGGGAGCCCCCAGGGACAGGGCATCCTGCTGCAAGCACCCCAACATTGGGGACAGTGGTATCCCAGCTGTTAGGGACTCCTAAGGTGTCCCTGGGCTACTGGGGGAGGTTGGTTTGGTGACAAAAAGCAAACCTCTACCCCCATCTCTCCAGGTGGGCACCAGTGTTCGGTGCTTCCCTGAGCTTCAAGTCCTGCTCGAGGGGGGTGAGATGGCAGCTTGTCCCTTCCATGGGAGAGCAGCACCAGGGCAGGATGCGGCCACGGAGCCCACAGCACTCATGGGAAGCCTGGGAGGAGCTGCAGGGCCAGGCTGGCTTGCAGAGGACACAGCCAGGGACACAGGGCACGGAGCAAACCCCTCCCCATCGCACAAACCGAGCTGCTCGTGCAAAAAGAGGGTTAAATCCTACACTTTGCTGCATGGGGGTGCAGGATGAGGCTGGCCACATGCATCATGCAAGGACTTGCTGCCATGGAGGGGTCACAGTCCCTTTCTTGCCACCCTCCTACATCCACCCCTTTGCATTGCAGCATCCCAGCGTGGAACCATCCTGGTGGGGAGCATCCCCTTGGCCCATCAGCTCCAGGGGAGGCATTTTGGGGGAAGCACAGAATCACTTGAGTTGGAAAAGATGCTTGAGATCATCGAGCCAAATCGTTCAGACCAACACCCCTCTTGCTCCTGCACCAGCAGCGCCCATCTCCCCTCCCAGGCCAGTATCAAAGGAGTTGGGACAGGGGGGAAAAAAGCGCCTGTTGGGATTGCACCATGGTCCTCTCAGCCTAAACCACCCCCCAGCATGGCCCAGAGCCTCCCCAAACCCCCCACTCCAGAGGCAGGAGGAAGGGTTTAACCACACTGATGCCCCACACACACACATTAAACACCATCTCAGACTAGAAACTGGCAAGTACTCAGCTGCTTGGCTGATGAGATGGAAAAAGTTAAGCTCTCCCTCTAAAAACATCCCGGGTGAGAAACAAAGGCGGCAGGAGATGGTGGCGATACCCACACCCCCACCAGGAGGGACTATTTTTCTCCAGTCACAGCTGGACAACTACTGAAATGAGCCCTTGCTGGGGGAGGTGGAACAAGGAGCTAGTTATATCCTGGTTATTTTTTATTCTGCCTTCTAAGGGTTCATGGGCAGCAAAAAGAAGCATGCGTGGTCCAGCTCTAGGCTTGAAGCCCCCCCCAAAATTGAGAAGACACCCTAGGGTGATCACAGCAATCCCTTGCCACCTCCAGAGACCACGGGGAAAGGCTCTTTTCCCACCAGATTGGGAGCAGAGCCCCAAAATCTAAACACACAGACTTTTTTTTTTCTTTAAGCCTGTGGCCCCCCCTCCACGCTCATCCCAGCCCTGTTCCTGCAACGCCCGGGGGTCTCTGCAAGCACCGATCTGCCCTCATTGCAGAGGTGTCAGGCTCATTGCAGGGTGTCAGGCTCCCCAAAAACCAGGGCTGGACCCTGCCCCATGCAGCCCCTCTCAGCTCCCCAAACCCTTTCCCAGGTCACTGTCCTCACAGCACAAACCCCTCCACCTGCAGACCCTCCCCAGCCCCCTCCGTTACCTCTCACCCTGCTGTAAACTTCTGCACAACTCTCAGAAAATTCCTTTTTATCCTTTCCTTCCCCATGCATCTCTCAGCGGGGACACCAG